CAGCAAAAACGAAACGAAAACAATGGGCATTTCCACGACGAGTTTATGGCATTAAAGCTTAAATATTTTGTTTTGTGAATGCGCTCACATCACTTTTCGTTTAAATACGTGAAGTTATGTGCGTAAAAAAAAGAGAAGTGAATAAAATACACACCGCACGAAATTTGTGTTTACTAAACAAAAAGTTGAAATAAAAATTTGGATTGGGTCTGCGTTCTGATATTTTATTTATAAATTTATTATCGAATGAATATAAGATCATAGGATATTCAATTTCTTATTTTATATTAGCAACTCTGTAATTTGTTCAAGTGCTATCACCTTTGATGATTCAATTCTTTTCTTTCTCGACCTGCGTCAGCGTTAAAGTTGTTTATAAACTAATTATTATTCTCAAAAATGCTTAGACGCTCTATATTTTTAAGATAAATAAAATCAGAATTAGTTAGATTCACACTATTCAACTTTATCTATTGCTCCATATACCTGAACTATTTAGGTTTTTGTTTCCTTTGATATTATATTTATGTTCGAGTTCATACAGTAAAAAATTTTCGATACGAAGCATTGCTTTTATACATTAACTATTTACTGCTATCTTTTATGGAAGATAATCTTGATAAAACTATTATAACTAGACTATCATGTAGCAGGGAAAAAGAAAAAATGTTTAGTCCAACGTTACATTACGATTTTATCTTAAAACAAAACAGCTGAAATTTTGTATTTATTATAATAATTTTGGGCTTTATTTAGTTCGACTAGACGAATTGTTCCATTGTAAAATAATAGGATTTGTTTTTTCTTTCTGTGCAATATGAAAGTGTACACAAGTCTAAATTCTTTTTCTTTTTCTGGTCCAAAAGATGTACATTATTTTTCTGTGTCCTTTCTTTTGTCAGATAAAAACATAAGACACAAGAAACATGATCCATACATTAACAGTTATGTCATGCTTATTATCTAAAATGACTAAGTCTATGCTTGTATTTTAGATTAAAAGATAAGCTTTAATATTGAATAATTGAAATATGGCATCTCAAGGTTTCAAAGTTGAAGTTATTCAAAAAGGATCAGGTATTAATAAAATGAAAATATATTTTCTATTATAATGATTAAAGTATGATCGTCATTCATAGGTGAAAAGCCAAGAAATGGTCAAAAAGTATCCGTCCATTATACGGGTAAGAAATGTAGACAATAAATTAATCTTTTGATATTTGATTCTTAGTTTGAAGAAACTTGTACTAGTCAAAATATAAGATATAAATATCTCAAATTTTCAGGTACATTGTTAAGTGGTAAAAAATTTGATTCATCAAGAGATCGTGGTAAACCGTTTGAATTTAAACTGGGAGAAGGAGAAGTTATCAAAGGTAACCAAGAAACAACATTTAAAACAACATTTTTGTTAAGACTTTAATTCCTTGTGTTTCATTAGGTTGGGATGAAGGTGTTGCTCAAATGAGTAAAGGTGAACGAGCAAAAATTACATGTCCTCCTGATTATGGTAAGCCGCTTAACTCTGACATAAACAAAATGTCTCGATTACTTTACGATAGCGAAATATTAAGTCTTTCGACGTATTGATGACAACGGATTCATGAGAATATTCTACATAAGCAAACATATTCAAAGCTATTGTTCATTTTGTTTTGTTTAGCTTATGGTAATCAAGATGTTGGCGGTGGTCTTATTCCCGCTAATAGTACATTAGTATTCGATGTTGAATTACTCGACTTTAAATGAACGAATTTTCAATGATTTAGAATCTCAAAAATAAACATTTACAATTTTTCAATAGACTTTTTAAGCTTGTTTAATATTTTATTTCTGCTACACATTTCACGAATAAACGGAAATCTCTACTTGAGGTCGCCATCGCACGTCGTGTAAAACAGACATTACTGCGTGAATTTTAACAATTAAGCTGATCAATATCTCTTTGAGTGTAGTTTCAATTGGGCTAATATGATGTGATCGGTTGATAAAAAGGATAAATTACTCCACTAATCTTTTATTACAACCAACTGTTTAGTTTTCGGGAAAATGTTGATTAATATAGTAAATAAACAACTGTCTCTGTTTTCGTCACGTAGAAATAGTTCAAAAGCTCTGTATGCATTTGAAACGTATAATTCTACTTGTATGATGCAGAACGTTAATAACACCACTAAAGACTGAAAACTTTTCTTTTGCACCATCACTGCGTAGGAAAGGGAAAAGAGGAATCTTCCCCGTTCGGAATATATTTCGATATGTCTACTTTGAACTCTTCAGCGCATTTTATAACGCTCCCGCGCATGTTCTGATTGGTTTCATTCGAAATAGCACAAAAAGTTGCATTGCATTGATTGACGGGGTGTCAAGTGAATTTAATGCACTTCTATGAGCTGTTATAGAAATCCTGAATAGAAATAGGATCAAAATCTTTCCCAATCGAGAAAGACATTTTTATCATATGCTTTTCCCAAAAACCGCTATCTCAAAGGAAAAGAAAAAAAGAAGGAAGAACGTAGAGTTATGAATACGTTCATCGGGTTCAAGAAGAGATTTCCGTTTATTCGTGAAATGTGTAGCAGAAATAAAATATTAAACAAGCTTAAAAAGTCTATTGAAAAATTGTAAATGTTTATTTTTG